TCGGCGGTTCGAGTCCGCCCGAGCTCTCTGTTTCGAGTTCTTCTCATTGGGAGCGGAATCGAAATTGTCTTGTTGCGTTACATTTCCACCACAGCAGTGCTTGCATCAGTCTACTGCGGAGATCTCGTGGTGTAGTGGTTATCACATCTGTCTCACACACAGAAGGTCGGCGGTTCGAGTCCGCACGAGCTCTCTGTTTTGATTTCTCCTCATTGGAAACGGAATTGCATTTCTCTTTTCGGTTCGCTACATTTCCGTCACAGGAGCGCTTGCATCAGTCTACTGCGGCGATCGCGTGGTGTAGTGGTTATCATATCTGTCTCACACACAGAAAGTCGGCGGTTCGAGTCCGCACGAGCTCTCTGTTTCGAGTTCTTCTCAATGGGAGCGGAATTGCATTTCTCTTCTCGGTGCGCTACATTTCCATCACAGCAGTGCTTGCATCAGTCTACTGCGGCGATCTCGTGGTGTAGTGGTTATCACATCTGTCTCACACACAGAAGGTCGGCGGTTCGAGTCCGCCCGAGGTCACTGTTTTGATTTCTCCTCATTGGAAACGGAATTGCATTTCTCTTCTCGGTGCGCTACATTTCCATCACAGCAGTGCTTGCATCAGTCTACTGCGGAGATCTCGTAGTGTAGTGGTTATCACATCTGTCTCACACACAGAACGTCGGCGGTTCGAGTGCGCCCGAGGTCACTGTTTTGATTTCTCCTCATTGGGAGCGGAATTGCATTTCTCTTCTCCGTGCGCTACATTTCCATCACAGCAGCGCTTGCATCAGTCTACTGCGGCGATCTCGTGCTGTAGTGGTTATCACATCTGTCTCACACACAGAAGGTCGGCGGTTCGAGTCCGCCCGAGGTCACTGTTTTGATTTCTCCTCATTGGAAACGGAATTGCATTTCTCTTCTCGGTGCGCTACATTTCCATCACAGCAGTGCTTGCATCAGTCTACTGCGGCGATCTCGTGGTGTAGTGGTTATCACATCTGTCTCACACACAGAAGGTCGGCGGTTCGAGTCCGCCCGAGGTCACTGTTTTGATTTCTCCTCATTGGAAACGGAATTGCATTTCTCTTCTCGGTGCGAGACATTTCCATCACAGCTGTGCTTGCATCAGTCTACTGCGGCGATCTCGTGGTGTAGTGGTTATCACATCTGTCTCACACACAGAAGGTCGGCGGTTCGAGTCCGCCCGAGGTCACTGTTTTGATTTCTCCTCATTGGGAGCGGAATCGAAATTATTTTGATTGTTTTGATTTCTTCTCATTGGGAACGGAATCGAAATTGTCTCCTTGGCGCGTTACATTTCCACCACAACAGTGCTTGCATCAGTCTACTGCGGAGATCTCGTAGTGTAGTGGTTATCACATCTGTCTCACACACAGAAGGTCGGCGGCTCGAGTGCGCCCGAGGGCACTGTTTTGATTTCTCCTCATTGGGAGCGGAATTGCATTTCTCTTCTCGGTGCGCTACATTTCCATCACAGCAGTGCTTGCATCAGTCTACTGCGGCGATCTCGTGGTGTAGTGGTTATCACATCTGTC